CCACAGCTAAAAAGATGTCTGTATTCTTTGATCCTGTAAGCTACCCTTAGGACGCTACCCTAAAAACACACTTTAATTCCAGCTCTAAACTGTGAGATTGGGGCTGTGGGGCTGCAGGGGAACTAGATGGAGAGACCGGCCTGGGGTGGGCGAGGCGAGGGAGGGGCCGAGGCCACCCACGCCCTCCAACAGCTACCACGTCCCGCCCACACAGAACCGGCCCGCCCCTCGCGCGCTCTCCCTTCAAAAATTCGCGGGCGCATCTTGCGCAGGCGCAGTGGTACTTGAGTCTTAGCCGCGCAAGCGCAGTGGCTGTAGGATGGCGGAGTTGGTGCCATTTGCAGTTCCCACCAAAGTGCCAAAACCTTGTTGGTGTGGGATCTGAGTTCTGGGCCAGCGGCCGAAGACATGCATGTGAGCCGGGGCCAGGTGGAGGGAGGGATGGGGAAAGCTGTCCACGTGGTGATTGGGAGCCCTGAAGTCCTCAGTTACCACCTCACCCACACTGAATTGCTACCCCCTTTTCCTCACCCGCCTTGTCGTCTCCCCTAATTTCGGGCTGCAATGACAGCAAAGAAGAGAAATATTAGTTGTAGAGCGGACCTCAGCAGTCACCTGGCCCCAACAGCTTTTAGAGACCCAGAGACGTAACTCTCAACAACCGGCACATGTTGCCTTCTAAGCTGCTGAGATTGTAGAATCGAAGAGGAAAACTTGTTCATGAAATGAGAAGTGTTTTGAGTTGTACTCCTCGTGGAGAAGGGCTTGGGGAACATAAGGGCTATGTAGTTTTGTTTTCACGCGCTTACTTGGCGTGGGACCTGTTGTAGGGGACGAACATCACAATATCTAGTAAAGCAAAAAAAAGTTTTATTCAGCATATATTCAAAAAGGCCAAAGTGGGAAACGGACAACCATGCTGCCAGAGCCATGTCAGCCCGAGTCCAAGGAATATTACAGAATAGGCAAGAGTGGGAAAACGGACAAGCATGCTGCCACAGCCATGTCTGCCGGAGTCCAAAGACCATTACAGAATCATCAGTATATATTAACATTACAAATGTGTAAAACATTTGAAAGATTAGCCTTTTCAGATTGGCTAGAAACTGACCCTACATTTTGAATTGTCCTTTCTAACAATCATTGGTACAGGTTTCAGTAACGACAGGAGGGTCTTCAACGGTCCAACAAACTTCTACTCACTAAATGCTAATAGAAAAAGGTAAGAGTGGAAAGTCTTTTGTGTTCTCTTTGATTGGCTTTATGTGAAAGTTTCCCTAAAAGATATTTTCCAAGATTATCTTTGCTACTGTCTTTATACCTCAGGGCCCAATTGATGTGTCCTTGTGAGTCCTTGTGAGCCCAGCTCCTGCTGGGTCACATTCTCTATGCTCAAGGAGAGGGAATAATAACTCCAGTATTATTTCCTA